TAATTTGTGTTGTTGTTGAATTCTAAGTTAAGTAATGGTGACCGAAATTATTCTAATTTTTTCATATCTGTTGAGATTTTCTTTGTGATTTGAGTGTGGTCAGTTTTAGAGAAGGTTCCATGAAGTGCTGAGAAGAAGGCATATTCTTCTTCTTCTTCTTTTTTTTTTTTTTAAAGATTTTATTTATTTAGTATACAGTCTTCAGCCTGCATGCCAGCAGAGGGCACCATATCTCATTCAAGGTGGTTGTTAGCCACCATGTGGTTGCTGGGAATTGAACTCAGGACCTCTGGAAGAACACTCACTGCACTTAACCGCTGAGCCATCTCTCCAGCCCAGCTGAGAAGAAGTCAAATTCTTTTATGTTTGGATGAAATGTTCTATAGATGTCTGTTAAGTTCATTTGAGTCATAACATCTGTTATTTCCCTTATTTCTCTTTTAAGTTTCTGTCTGGCATACCTGTCCATTGATGAGAGTTGAGTGTTGAAGTCTCCCACTATTAGTGTGTGGGGTTTGATGTGTGATTTAAGCTTTAGTAATGTTTCTTCTTCTTCTTCTACTTCTTCTTCTTCTTTTTTTTTTTCAAATGTATTTGGGGCATAAATGTTCAGAATTGAGACTTCATCCTGATGGATTTTTCTTGTGATCAATATGAAATATCCCTTTCCTCTTCTTTTGATTAATTTTAGTTTGAAGTCTTGTTGCAAAACAAATAAAAGACCCAGAGACTGATATTGGGGTTCAAGCTTCAAGCTGACGATCAGAAAAGCAAAGCAGCCAAGCCACTAGTTCTTACTACCTCAGGCTGAAAGGGCTGATCCTGTCTCCAGGAGCTCTCACCAAGCCTCAGACTGCTGCCTCTCCCCAATGTGTCTGAAGAGAATCAATGCCTTCCTATCCTCAGTGTCGCTAGAGAATGAATGCCTGCTTATCCGTAATGTGCCAGGAGAATGAATGACTTCCTATCCTCAGTGTAGCTGGAGAGTGAATGACAGCCCTGAGAACCTGTTCCTGTCATAAATACCTCTCATGAGTCCTGGGATTAAAGGCATGAGCTCTGTTACTCTTTTCTGACTGATTCAATCTTATGTAGCCCTGGGTGGCCTTGAACTCAGAGAGATCCATCTGCCTTTGTTTCCTGAGTCCTGGGATTAACGTTGTGTACTACCACTGCTTGGTTTCTATGGCTAACTGTTACGGCTGCCTTGTTATTTTGATCTTAAGTGTCTTTAATAAATCATAAACAGTATATCACCACAAAGTATTTTGTTAGATATTAGGATAGCTACACCAGCTTGTGTCTAAGGTCCATTTGATTGGAAAATCATTTCCCAACCCTTTACTCTGAAGTAATGTCAGTATTAGAAGTTGAGGTGTGTTTCTTGCATGCAGCAGCAGGATGGATCTTGTTTTCATATGCATTCTAGTAGACTGTGTGTTTTTATAGGTGAGTTGAGTCTATTGATATTAAGAGATATTAATGACCAGTGATAGTTAATTCCTGTTATTGTTTGGTTTTGATGTTGGTGGTGGTAGTGTGTATTTCCCTTCTTTGGGATTTGCTGGTGTGAGATTATCTATTGACTGTGTTTTTTTGGGAGCAGCAACTTCCTTGAGTTGGAGTTCTCCATCTAGTACTTCCTGTAGCACTAGGTTTGCAGATAGGTATTGTTTAAATCTGGTTTTGTCATGGAATAGCTTTTTTCTTGTCATGGTAATCTAAAGTTTTGCTGGGTATAGTAGTCTGAGCTAGCATCTATGGTCTCTTAGTGTCTGCAAAATGTCTGTCCAGCAAGATCTCCTGAGAAAATTAGAGCATGGGGGGGAGGGGGAGGGAGGGAGGAAGAAGGGGAGAGGGTAGGAGAACATGAGGGATCAGGAAGATTGAGGCAAGGGAAGAATAGAAAAGAAGAGCAAGAAAAGAAATACCTTAATAGAGGGAGCCATTAATAGGTTTAAAGAGAAATCTGGCACTAGGGAAAAATGTCCAGGGATCCACAAGGATGACTCCAACTAAGAATCTAAGCAATAGTAGAGAGGCTACCTTAAATGTCCTTATCCTATAGTGAGATTAATGACTACCTTAAATGCCATCCTAGAGCCTTCACCCAGTAGCTGATGGAAACAGAAGCAGAGACGCACAGCTAAGAACTGAGCCGAACTTCTGGAATCCAGTTGTAGAGAGGGAGGAGTGATGAGCAAAGCGGTCAAGACCATGCTGGGAAAACCACAGAAACAGCTGACCTGAGCAAGTGGGAGCACATAAAACCCAGTCTGACAGCTGGGCAACCACCATAGGACAGAACCAGGCCCCCTGAACATGGGTATCAGTTGGGAAGCCTGGGCAAGTCTATGGGGTCTCTGGCAGTGGAACCAGTATTTGTCCCTGGTGCACAAATGGGCTTTGGGAGCCTATGGAGGAATTCCCTATGGAGGAATACTCTCTCAGTCTAGATACACAGGTAGGGCCTAGGTCTTGCCCAAATGATGTGACAGACTTTGATGTGACAGCCTCACCCTCCCTTGGGAGGGGATAGGGAGTGGGATGGGGGGGGTTGGAGAAAGGTATGGGAGGGCTGGAGGGAGAGGGAACTGGGAGTGGTATGTAAAATAAGATTGTTTTTAATCTAAATAAAAAAATTATAAGGACAAAAAAAATGTCTGTCCAGGACCTTTTGGATTTCAGAGTCTCCATTGAGAAATCGGGTGTAATTCTGATAGATCTGCCTTTACATGTTACTTGGACTTTTTTCCCTTTGCAGCTCTTAATATTCTTTATTTAGTCTGTATTTTTGGTGTTTTGATTATTTTACAGTGGGGGGACTTTTTCTTTTTCTTCTGGTCCAGTCTATTTTGTATTATGTAAGCTCTTTGTATCTTCATAGGCATGTCCTTTTTTAGGTTGGTCAGTGTTTTCTCCTATGATTTTGTTAAATATATTTTCTGTGCCTTTGAGCTGGAACTCTTCTTCTTCTATCCCTATTATTCTTAGGTTTTGTCTTTTCATGGTTTCCTGCATGTTTTGCATTAAGTATTTGTTGGATTTAACATGTTCTTCTTTGACCGATCAATCTATTTACTCTATCGTATCTTCAATGTCTGAGATTCTCTTTTCCGTCTCTTGCATCTGTTGGTTATGCTTTGCATCTGTAGTTCCTCTTCCTTTACCCAGATTTTTCATTTCCAGAATTCCCTCAGTTTGTTTTTTCTTTATTGCCTCTTTTTGAATTTTTAAGTAAGATTTTCCTTCACTTGTTTGATTTTTCTTGATTTTCTTTAAGGGATGTGATTTCCAATTTTTTGTTTGTCTTTTCCTCTATTTCTTTAAGGGAAATTTTCATTTCCTCTTTAAGGACCCCTATCATCTTCTTAAAATTATTTTTAAGGTTATTTTCTTCTACTTCATCTGTCTTGGGATGTTCAGGTCTTGCTGTTGTATTCTACCATATAGTGCTTTATGTTGTTGAATGAATTCTTACTCTGCTCTTCACCCATCTGGGTTTTGGATAACTATTGCTATGGGTGTTGATTCTTGTGATGTCTTTGTTGGATGGATTTTTTTGTTCCTTTATTGTTTGTTTTCTTTATTATCTTTTGGCCTGAATGGTCAAGGGTTCTGGTAATTGTCTGGTTGTCAGATGTGTAGGGTTGTTTCTGCTGTGGGGTTTGGGTGCTTAGATCCAGTGTATGGTCCAGTTCTTCTGGCTGGTGTGGGCTTTACTAGTGCCACTGAAGTCTGTTCTTCTAGCTGGTGTGGGTTGCACTTGTGCCTGTAGGGTCTACTGATGTTGCTGGAGAGGGCTGTTCGTGGGGAGACTGCTCTTACCTGCTGGCTGCCTCCTGGGGCTGAGATGGGAAGGGAAGGGCATGGGATATGCCCTAGGGCTTAGGGCCTGAGGATTGTGGTAGTTTAGCCTGGAGAAATCTGTCACTTCTTCCAGTTGGTGCAGGTGGTGCTTGTGCCTCTGTGGGCTGCTGCTGGGGCAGGGGTAGGGTGGGGAAGTTCAGTAGTCTTAGATTCTGCTATGCTGAGTTGGATGTGAAACCTATCAGCTTCTTAATTACACATATTATGCATATCATTTCTAAAATTATCTAATTCTCTTTGGTAGATTGTAATTCTTTGTTAACTTTTCCTTTTTAGACTACTAGTAAGGATTTTTGTTTGTGTCATGTTAGTTTTCTTAAAAATTTTAAACTATCAGCTGTAGTTTTTTGTATTCTTTTTTATCTTGTTCACTGTTTATACTTTGTGCTCTATCTCATATTTGTAAGTTATTGTTTACAAGTATTGCCCATCAGGTAGAACAGTAAACATGGACATAAAAATTCTTTTTCTTTAATTCTGAATTAACAGGAGGGAGGATCCAGTTGTCCTCCAAAACTCTTGTTTTAAACTGTGCTGATTTCTTGTCTGTCCTGCTGGCCTGCAAATATCAAGAGCTATGGTGATTTTCCTTTTCCCAAATAATCTCTTTTGATCCTTAGTCCATATGAATGGCAAATATTCCCAGAAATAAAAACAAAAAACTAGCAGGCTAAAATTACCTAAGAAGCTATTATCATTGTACTAACTTAGTACAATGATACTTTTATTTTTATTGGTCTTTGCTGTTGCAAACAAATGCTATGGCAGGGATAGCAGTGTTGTTTATCTCTTTTACTTTAGGTGTTATGGGATCAAGGGCTTGCCAACTATGTATTAGTAAATTAATCTTCTAGAAGTCAAAACAAAATTTCCATATTTTAATTGCTTTATATATTGCATTTATAGAAGGTTAGTGTGTTTTAACTAGCTGCTTGTCATTGAAATGTTGGCTTTGTTGTTTACCATTACCAATTTTTCCCTCAATTTAGCAGTGAAAAATAGTTACTGCTGATATTTAGAAAAGAAATATAAAGGATAAATTTCATTTAAAATTACTTTTGTGCAGCACTATCTATAGTAAAATACAAACAAAAATTAATTTTCTTTTCTTTCCCCTTTTTCTTGTTTAGTGAGTGATAGCTGCTTCAGGAATCTTGCAGAAGACCGTAGTGGGATAAATCTTAAAGATCTTGTCCAAGATCCTTCTTTGTGAGTATTTGTTTTTATCACTAAGTATAATTTAAAACTTTAATTTTTGCATTAACTTAAAAATACTTTTAACAGCTCATTTTACACTTTCTGAGAATTTGTTACATTTAGTTAAGTCTGATGGAACAATTTCTTTTTATACAACGGAAAAACATTAGAAGAGATGGTGTCATCATGAAAGATTGACTTTCAAAGCATTAGTATCTGGTGACTCCAGTGTGGCAGTAGATAGTAGTCAAGGGAATTACTGGTTGATTTGTTTGGGGAAATGAGAATAAATTTGCTTATATCATTTAAACTTTCTTTGAATATCTTATTTGCAATAATTATTTATTCTTAAAATTAGAAATAAAAAACTTTGTAATAACTATATATCCTTAAATGTATTAGACTCTATTTTATGTTCCATATCAGAAAACTACACACCATAGAAAGTTTGGAGTTTTGTAGCTTTCAGCATTATCTGTCTGTCTGTCATCTGTCTGTCTATCTATTTGTTTTTGCTTGTCTAAGCCCAACCTGGCTTAGAACTCATTCTATAGCTTTGGCTGACTCCCAAGTCATGATTCTCCTGCCTCTGCCCCTCAAGTGTGATTGTTAGCAAGCATGTGCCACCAGGCTCCTCCTTGTTCTTTAAATTGTTTATTTTGTTGTTTGCTCCTCAGATCAATCCCATTCTTTATAAGCACATATTCTAGTATAGTATTACTATTTAATAATTTCCATAATTTTTGAAATTTCATATTAATTGAAAGCTAGCTTCAAAAGGTGGAACCCAAAGTGACTGTTTCACACTATAAATGTGATAGGTATCCTGTAATTATCATTGCCACAATTTTACTTCCATTTCACTGTAACAAATTAATGGAATGCTGTGAACTGGATAAGCTATTGTTTGAACATGGTCAAGGAGGGATGCCACAGTAGAAAAGAAATATGAGAAAGTCACAAATCTTGCAGGATTATTTTGTCTTTTTACTAACTTGTAATAATGGGAGCAAAATTTAACATGAGCAAGATGAGGAGATATCTAATAATCTATATTTTTTCTGAGTGCTTTGTGTCTGTCTCCATAGTTTTTAAGAACAAAAACAGGTAGAGTTTGATACTCATTTTAGCTGGCTAATGTGTCTGTTGGTTTGAACTGCCATTTTGTATGCATACTAAATTTCTAAATAAATAACCATTTTAATAGCTTCTTTTCTATTTCTCATGAAAATTAAAAGGTTGTATCCTCTGTGTATGTATAATTTGTCAATTTCTTTTGTATTTTTAAACCTTTTTCATTTTGTTATCTCAATGCAGTGAAAAGTCTTTAGTTTAATGTTATATCTAGATTAATAACATATTTGTATGCACATTATTTTCGGTCATATAAGAAATTATTCCTCACACAATATAATTTAACTTCTTTCATGTTAAAGTAGATAGTTTAAGTTATAAAAATTAAACTCTTCTGGAGAAATGGTTGTGATATAAATATTTAAGCTATAGTTGTTTTTTTGTTTTTGTTTTTTTGTTTGTTTATTGTTTTTTTTAAGACAGGATTTCTTTGTGTATCAGTCCTGGTGGTCCTAGAACTTGATCTGTAGCTCAAGGTGGCCTCATAATTCAGAGATCTGCCTGTCTCTGCCTCTTGAGTACTGGGATTAAAGGTGTGCACCACCACTGCCTGTCCAGTTACCTTCTTTAAAAAGCTAATTCTCTTTACTTTCAAAGTAGTTCTAACTGTGTGCTATGGGTGAGACAAAAAGTCAACACCTTTGTGTTTTGAATTTCTTTTATAAACCTTCAAAAGCATTTGTGTTTTTTTTTTATTTTGTTTTTGTTTTATTTCTATCTTAGGTTTTGCCTGTGTGTATGTATGTGTACCATGCGTTTGTAGTATCTGTGGAGGTCAGAAAAGGGTGTCATATGTACTGGGACTGAAGTTACAGATGGTTGTGAGCCACTGTGTTGTGCTGGGAATCAGACTCAGCTCCTCTAGAAGAGCAGCCAATGCTCTTAACCACTGAGCATTCTCTCCAGCCTCATGTTTTAGATTTTTTATTGCTTATTTTTAAGTAGCAAGATTATTTGAACTTAGACTCAGTTATAAATGTTAAAAGCTGTTTAACACTCAAAAGCCCTTTAGAAAAGTGTTGGTACTATTCACCCTGCTGTTGACTGAGTGTTGGGTGTGGAGTGTATGCTGTGGCTCATTTAATTTCCAAGTATTTTCAAAACTTTATTATGTACTATACTAGTATGTGTTGTTTAACATTGAGAAAGAATTGCTCAGTTAATGGGAGAATTATGGTAATTCTAGAATACTAGAAATGTAATTCATAATACAGGCTATTAGTAGTTTTGTTTAATTTAAATTGGAAACATTTGTATGTATATACCACATTTTTGCTTATCTATACTTCTATCAGTGGATCTTTGGATAGCTTCTACCTTTTGGCTTTTGTGTCTAATGATCCAATGAATGTAAATTTAAAACTTACTGGGTTAGTTATATTCCCAGGAATGGAATTGCTGGATTATATTGTGCTGTATTTTTAACTTTTGAAGACATAATACTGTTTCCAGAGCATTGTACTATTTTACATTTTTACTAGCAATATATGCTAGTTTCTTCAATATATGTATGTTTCCCCACACAAAGACATGATTTAAAACCAAAAGCAACTTACTTACATCTTTGCCAACACTTACTAGGATTTTGTATTTTATAGTTAATTTCCTTATTGATATAAGGTATTTATCCAACATCCTGAGGGAGTTTCCTGATATTTTTAATTACAGATCATGAATTCTTTACATCTTGTCTTCACTATTGAATTTAAAATGATTCTTCTAGAAATTGTTTAAAGTGTCTACTGTGTTTGACTACTAATATTTAAAACATACAGTATGAGACCATCTTAGCAAACTTATAAATTCTCTTTATTGTCATTACCAAGATTAAAATACAAATAAAGCCTGTAACTGGGTGGTGGTGGCGCACACCTTTAATCCCAGCACTCAGGACGCAGAGGCAGGCGGTTCTCTGTGAGTTCTAGACCAGCCTGGTCTACAAGAGCTAGTTCCAGGACAGACTCCAAAGCCACAGAGAAACCCTGTTTCAAAACCCACCCCCCAAAAAATACATTTTAATAAATTCATTTTCCCTATTTTGTATAATACTCCTTATAATCATCACATAAAAAGATGTATACTTGTATAGATTATAGTTCAAATACAGATACCAGTTTATAATGTTTAAAACTGAAAAGCAACAGTCTGCTAATAGAAATGTATTTGATTTTTATACATCATTATTGATGAAGAAACAACATTCTATTAATGGGTTTATATTTCGATATATAAGTCACAAGTGATTAGTAATGAAATGTTTATGTTGAAGAACAAAAATTAGATAAAATAGTTGTGTCTATATATACATGAAAAATGGTATTTGCTCACGTATTCACAAATTTTACTGGTTTGGATCGAAAGTGTGGCTTTTGATATTTCTAGAACACTGCCTTATTCCCCTGGGTATACTTGTCATCACACTGTAGCCTCACTGATTAAATGATATTTTGGTCCCTTGGATCATGACATTAAATATGAAGGGAAGACAGGATTGCTGTCTGGAAAGCAATCATTTCTAAATATAGACTTTGCTTATCTGCTGGTGTTAAGACAGGTTGCTATGGTGAATTGAATTTCTTAAAAATGCCAGTCAGCAGAGGATAAACATTTCCTTCTCAAGTGGTTATCTCTTATAAAGCTGTACATTGTCATATAGCATGTTCAGAAAGGTTAAAATGTAGTTAACATATTTAATTGAGTATTTGTAACATTTCAATTTTAGAGTATCTTGAAGTCTTTGTTACATAAAATAGAGGTTTTGTTTTCACTGTAGAAAAATTTCATTTAGTATTAATATTTATTTTTCTAGCAGCAGCATAGAATATTACTGTGTTTTTAGGTTGCTACCCATGGTTTTACTAATTCTAAAATACTTTTTATAGCTTTTTTTGTAAGTAGCTAATTTGTAAGAAACTAATATCATCATTTTCACTTTTTGCCCTGCTTGATGGATTATATGCTCATTGGTCTATAGTATCTATATTGTAATGATATAGTCTAATATGACATACCACAGTTGTTACGGTATGCTAAAGCTATAACCCCTAAAACATAATTGTTCTTTTACTTTTTTTTCCATTTTTTATTTGAATTAGAAACAAGATTGTTTTACATGTCAGTCTCAGTTCCCTCTTCTTCCCCTCCTCCTCTGCCACCCAGCCAACTAAATCCTACCTATCTGCTCCCCAGGGAGGGTTGAGGCCTTCCACAGGGGGTCTTCAGAGTCTGTCATATCCTTTGGGATAGGTCCCAGGCCCATCCCCATGGCTGAGGGAGTATCCCTCTATGTGGAATGGGCTACCTATGCTAGGGATAAGTACTGATCTACGACTACAGGAGGCCCCATGGATTTCCGAGGTCTCCTCACTGACACCCACATTCCTGGGGTCTGGATCAGTCCCATGTTTGTTTCCCAGCTATCAGTCTGGGGACCAAGAGCTCCCCCTTGTTCAGGTCAGCTGTTTCTGGGGGTTTCACCAGCCTAGTCTGGACCCCTTTGCTCAACACTCCTCCTTCTCTGCAACTGGATTCCAGTTCATTTCACTGTTTAGCTGTGGGTATCTGCTTCTATTTCCTCCAGCTGCTGGATGAAGGCTTTAGGGTGGCATATAAGTCAGGCATCAATCTCATTATCAGGGGAGGGCATTTAAGGCAGCCTCTCCTCTGTTGCTTAGATTGTTAGTTGGTGTCATCTTTGTAGCTCTCCAGACGTTTTTCATATGATGTATTTCGATTGTTTTTTTCCAGCACCAAATCCTCCCAGTTCCTCCCTATCTCCCTATTTACCTAACTTTATGTTCTTTTTCTCTGTCTTTGAAAAAAAAAAGGAGAGTAAGAGAAACAAAACCCTAAGAAATGCTCTAGTGTGCAACCATAAC